ACACTGCCAAAGATGCTGGAGAACTTCCTGTCTACACACAAAGCAATTTCTTTTGTGGGATGCCTAAGCCAGCTTCATTTCTTTCACTTCCTGGGCAGCACAGAGGCCATGTTGTTGGCTGTAATGGCCTTGGACCGCTTTGTGGCTATCTGCAAACCACTTCGTTACACTGTCATCATGAATCATCAGCGCTGTACCCAGATGGCTAGCACAGTCTGGGTCATTGGGTTTTTCCATGCCCTGCTGCACTCCATAATGACCTCTCACTTGAACTTCTGTGGTTCCAACCAAATCCATCACTTCTTCTGTGATATTAAACCTTTGCTGGAGTTGGCCTGTGGGAACATTGAGCTCAACCAGTGGCTGCTCAATACCATCACAGGGACCATTGCCATGGGCCCTTTCTTTCTCATACTTCTCTCCTATTTCTACATTCTCATCTATCTTGTCTTCAAGACCCTTTCATGCAGCATGCTTCACAGAGCACTGTCCACGTGTGCCTCCCACTTCATGGTAGTTATTCTTTTCTATGTGCCTGGTGTCTTCATCTATATTCGACCTGCCTCAGACAGCTCCATGGAGCAGGACCGAGTCATTGCCATCATGTACACTGTGGTCACTCCTGTACTAAATCCACTGATCTATACTTTGAGGAACAAGGAAATAAAGAGGGCCTTGATCAAGATGATCAGAAGGAAGCTATGACTTGAAGGATCTAGAGAACTTTTCTGAGGCATAAATAAGTAGTCAATGAAAAAGTTGAGATTTGAATTTATACTACTTCGCAAATTGTTTAGACTATGTATGAAAGTGGAAACTAAATAAAAGAACTATAAACGGTAAAGTCCAGTCTAGCAGGTTTTGTTGTTGTTAGGTGTCATCAAGTTGATTCCGACACATAACGGCCCTATGTACAACAGAATGAAGCACTACCTGGTCTTGTGCCATCCTCAAATTGTTGTTACATTAAGCAGGTAGGTCGGTAGCATAAAAGAAACTTAAACAAGTTGGACACTAGCCATGGAACCCTCATGCTAAATGGGTTTTTAGCATATTAATTGAGATAATTGATTTGTTATATATTCTACTGTATTCATGTATGAAATCAGGTATAGAAACATGCCTATATTACCCATGTATATGGTAAATAGATAATATTTAAGTTTGTTTATCTGTGTGATCCCTTTAGGTTAGCACATTTTAATGTGAGCAATAACATTATTAGACTTCTAAATTTTGAAGATTTTTTTCAGGGCCATGGTTACTTAATTGTCAAAGCAAACGCTAACTCACATATGAACTAAGGAGAATTCTTAAGAGGTATGTCACGATTTCTTGTTCACCAAGCAGAGGCAAATCAGTAATTAAAACAAATAAACTGTAATCACTGATCAACAGAAATATAATAACCAGTTGTTCTTCTAAAGAGGTCTGGAATCTCTATCTTCGGAGATCTTTCAAAAGTCTACGGGCTGAAAGGCAATACTGAATATGGGTGAAGTGCGTGCAACTTGACCAAGGTAAGTGATGGTAGTAAAAACTACAAAAGGAAAAGGACATTTTTGGTAAATGCTATAACATATACAATTTTGCAATAATAACTAAAAAATAGTGTGTGGTTACATAGGTATATATGTATGCATATATATGTAAACTAAGGTATACACGTGTATATACATGTGCACATAGAGGTGTATCTGCGGGCATATATGTATTTATATAGTGTGCTCCATATATATTTACATTTAAAATAAAGCACATAGGAGGTACAGTAACAGATACTTTCTAGACATGACAAAACACCTCGTGGGATTGGTTTACTGGGTTTGGAGGCCTAGGACTATAGTCTCATGGGACAACTCAGTCAAATGGCATAGCACAGTTCATAAAGTTTAGGTTTTACATCTAGTTTCGTCAGTAGCACCTATGCTCTTAAAAGCTTGCAAGTAGCTGTCTAAAATACAACTATTGGTCTCAACTATTGTGGAGCAAAAGAGAAAGAAGAAAACAAAGACTCAAAGAAGAAATTAATCTACAAGACTAATAGCCTACACGAACCACAGCCTTGTCTATCCTGAGAACAGAACTAGATGCTGCCCAACTGCCGCTACCGACCATTCTGATCAGGAACACAGTAGATGGTCCTGGAGAGAATAGGAGAAAAATGTAGAACAAAACTCAAATGCTTAAAAAAGTTGAGACTTACCGACCAGTAGATACTAGAGGAACACCTGAGACTATTGCCTTGAGAAACCCTTTAAATTCTGTACTTTATTTCTTCCGGAGGTCATCTTTCAGCTAGATAACAGATTGGCTCATAAAAAAACAATAACACCGATGAGTATTGTGTGCCTTTAAAAAATCATCTAAATGAGACCAAATGGTCAACATTTACCCTAAAGCAAAGATGAGAAGGTAAGGGGGAGGGCAGGGAAACTAGATTAATCGAAAGGGAACAACCAGAACGGAACTAGTAAGAATGTTGACACATTGTGAAAAATGTAACCAATGTCACAGAATGACTTGTGCAGACATTGTTGAAAGGGAACCTAATTTACTGTGTAAAAACACAACAAAATATTATAAAAAATAAAACTGCAAGCAGGGTCAACTCAAAAAAAATCAACTGACTGAATTATTGAGCACAACATGATTTATGTAATTGATATCACTAAATTGTACAACTGAAAAATGCAAAATGGGCAAATGTTGTGTTAGCTATATTTTTACAACAATAAAAAAAAGAATTACTGTGAAATACAGTTAAAAGTGGAGTCCAGTTGAAAAAGATCTCAACAATCCTTTCCTATGTCATTCGTGTGTTACTTTCCCTTCAGCGTTTGGTGATTGAAAATGACTTTCAATAATTTTTCCTCTTTCTTGTCTTGTTTTTCTGTTTCCATCCCCTTCCACTCCCCCCCCCCTTTTTTTTGACAGATTATTATAATGTAAGGCAGGTGAAAGAGTAAGAATTCATCCAAATTTTGTTTTCTTTTCTTTCTTGGCCCAAAACTCCCACTAAAGTGAAAACAATGAAGTCCTAGTTGCTGAGGTATTTCTTGAGTTAATAGACAAATTATATTCCTCATATTCTAAGTACCTAGACATGCCTACTGTCCCTGAAAGAGTGGTGGGGTGTCAGCATTTCTAACTATTTAGAGAGACATACAGACAACACGATGAAAAGATATTTGGAACCAGTGAACTGACTATTCAAAATCTTTGCATTCACTTTTGTAAACCCAACAAGTTAGTTCTGACCTCTCTCCTGTGTTCTTTTCTATCTTCAACTTTGCCTTCTTTGGTCCTTCTATTCTATTTTTGTTGATGAGAATAAGTGTGTGTAAAGAAGTCACCATCCACTCTGAACTGTCACAGAGTAGCAGTAATGCATCATTTCTGCTTGCATTTCTGTTGGTAAGAATTTGTCACATGACAATCTGCATGGAGACTGTGAACTACAGAGGACCAATGGAGTTCTGGTGATCTCTTGCTGCATAACACACTAGTAGCCTAAAGTTTAGTGGCTTAAAACCTTGTGGGTCAGAAATTGGGAAAAGCACAGCCTACCTAGAAGGGTTGACTTTATTTAATCGTATCTGAACCCTCAGCTGGGATGACTTGAACAGCTGGGTGTTGAATAGGTGAGAGCTGACAAAGTCTCTCTAGCTTCTCCATGTGGTTAGCTTGTGCTTCTTCACTAGGGAAGCCTCAAAGGGCAGACATTTTACATAGTGGCTCAGGGAACAACAGACCAAGGCAAACCCTTCCAGTTGTCTTAGACTGAGGCTAGAATTGGCATTAACGTTATTTCTACTATACTTAATAGTCAAAGCAATCATAGGCCAACCCAGCTTTGGGGGAAGAGGTAATAGACCCCACTTGAATCCTTGGGTTATGCAAACACTTTAAACGTTCAGCTGCTAACAGAAAAGTTAGAAGTTTAAGTCCACCCAGGGGCTGCTTGGAAGAAAGGCCTGTCAATTTACTTCTGAAAAGTCAGCCCCTGAAAACCCTATGGAGCAAAGTTCTACTCAGACACACATGAGCCTTCATGAGTCAGAGTCACCTCAACTGGTTTATGCTTCATTTCTGGTGAAGCACTGGTGGTTCTACGGTAGAATACTCACCTCCCATGCAGAAGAACCAAGTTCAGTTCCAACCAATGAACCTCATGCACAGCCACTGCCCATCTCTTAGTTATGGTTTACATGTTGCTATAATGCGGAACAGGTTTCAGTGGAGTGTCCAGATTAAGATGGACTAAGAAAAAAGGCCTGGCAAACTACTTCTGAAATCATCCAATGAAACCCATAAGGATCACAACAGAAAGAATCGGCAACTGATCACAAGGATGGTACAGAATCTGGGAGCATTTATTCAGTTGTGCATGGGGTCATTATGAGTCAGCAGCCAACTTGACAGCAGCTAACAACAACATACTTGGATCACATTATAGTATTAATTTCCTTTACCCTAAGCACTTTTTAATATATTTGTTGGCCATTTGCATAGCCTTTCATGAATTCCCTATTTACGTGTTTTACCCATTTTTCTATTGGATTGTCTGCCTTTTCAATTAGTCTCATAGAATATGAATCTAATTATAAATTCTCAAGCAGAAAGATAGATGACAAATATATTCTCTGACTCTGTTGTTTACCTTTTTATTCCCTTGATGTTGTCTTTTGATGAATAGAAATTCAATTGGATTCTTCCAATTTATTGAATCCTGAAACTTGTTCAAATTATATTTTCCAAAGTTTAAGGATTTAAGATAAACAAAAATTAATAAGAATTAAGTCGATTAATTACATGAAACATTTCCCTTAAATATTGTGACTTTTTCAGTTTCAAAGATATCGAATATATAAATTGTTCACTCTATTGGATAGAGCTAGAAAAATTTTAATTTTAAATTCTTTAAATTATGAAAATTATTTGAAGACTAATTTATGCCTCTAATAGATCACCTAGGAAGCAGTTTTATAATATATATTTTAGTTCAGTTAGAGGATCAAATGATATATATTAAATTATTTCACTCTAGCCACACACAAAAAAGAAATGGCATGTAAGTGAATTCTGGTTGTTAAATATTCTTCATGACACCCCTGAATGAATATCTTCAGAAGTATTTACTTCACCCATTAGGTACAGGGATACAACCATCCTAAGATCAATTGTTTACTATTCTGGTCTTGGGGGTTCCTAGAGGTCTCAAGTGGTGTCAATTCCAACTCCAAGTACTAAGAATGGCAGGCCTATAGTTATACCTTCCCAGAAGAAACTTTCTTTGTTTGTTTTTGTTTTATTCACAGCCTAGGCTACAACAGAGGAATTTCTTTGCAATATTCTTTCATTTATGCATAGACTTTTGCCTATTATATTTATCAAAAGAAAAATATGATCAACAGAAAGAAATGTTTGCGAGCAGGGGAAACAGTTCTAGAGAAATAAGCTTGTCACATTACAATTTTGATCAGCTTATATATGGTACAAAATGTTAGGAGATTTCCCAAAATGATTGGTTGTCATTCACTTAATCAGCAGGAGGTGGCTTAGATTGGTTAAGTTTGCCTGTCTGCATTCTATAGGCTAGTTGTGGCTTTTCTACTTTTGAAAAATTTTACCAAAACTGCCTTTATCACGAGTTTTTGGTTTTGGGCAAGGGTTAAGAGTTAAGTTAAATTTGAAACGGAGTAAAGGGGAGACGATGTGCTCATTTTCTTTACAACACCCTTTTCAATACAATGATATCCTTCAAGAATTCTGGCTTTACCCAAAGGCTCTCAATTTTTACCAGCTGCTTTTTACTGGCCTTAGGTCTTTTTCTACAAACAAAGTTTCCCTTAACACTGAAATCTCCTGGGAAATGAGCTGTCAAAACTCCTCAAGGCATTTAAAAAAGAAGAATACAGATTGGACTCAATCAACAATATCTACAACAAAGTCATATTAATTAAAATATAGTTTGTTACTGACACAGAAACAAATCAACAGAACAAAATTGAGAGTGGAGGAACAGGAGGTTTATTTATAAGGACTTGGAATATTATAGAAATGGAATCATACATCTGGGAAGAAAGAATAGCTAATTAGTTTGATTCCAAAGAAACAAAGAAAAGCCAATTCTGACTGTTTATCTCACAGTATATGTCAATGTCAACT